CCCGGAGGAGAGCGGCATCGAGCGGGCGACCAACTCTTTTGCCACCAAGGTCCGGCGCGCGAGGGCGCTCTCCGCCAAGACGCGCGCCGAACCTGCTCTCGAGCCTGCAATGGCGACGATCAGCGTCGCAAACTTCGCACCCGTGGCGCCCCCACCTGGGCTGCCACCGCTGCCCACTGCACGGGGAGGCGCGCCGCATAAACCGGATGAGCTGCCGGCGACACCGGAGCGTGGCTCCTCTGTGTACTCGCCGCGCTTCGCCGTCTGAGCGCCGGGCTTGAAATGTGCATTACGCGCGGCCCTCTCCCTGAGGGGGTTCGCGAGCCGACTTTAACAGCATAGCATGACCGTGAGAGCTTCAGCAGAGAGAGGAGGAGGGAGAGTGATGGCGTGTGTGGGTGTGGGTGCGTGTACGAGTTCCGCACCGTTATGTACTGTGCTCTGACCCCTCGTGTGCACTATCTCTGTAGAGCCGTGTATGGCGTGGGTGGGGCCCCACATACCGTGCGACGAGGGGGGGTTGGAGGGGGTCGGTGTAGAGGCGTGTGTGGTGTGGCGTGGTGCGTGACGTGCGGAGATTGGTGTTTCTCATTTTTATTCAAATGACCTGGAATGACACGACAGACGACTATTCCAGTGTGCACGCTGGAATACACAGAAACATGCACAGAGAGCTCTCAGGAGTGAAGGAGAGAGATGCATGACCATGAGAGATCGACAGCAGGCGCTGGAAGCTTTCAGTGGTACGTCAGTAGGAGGTGTCTCAGAGAGGAACGTTGGTGCATAGAGCCGTATGTGTCGGGCTCTCACGTCTCAGCGCACACGTCACGTGTGTGCCTCTACTCGTCGCGCGTTGGAGTCAGACGCTAGCTTCGGGAGGCAGCAGCCAGACGGCCACGGCGCCGCCGGTGCCCGGCGAGGCGACGAGCTCCGCACGCACGCCCGAAGCGGCGCGGTAGAGCCGGTCGGCCAGCGCAGGCACGCACTCGGCCGCCTCTCCGCCTCGCGCCGCAGCCTCGACGTCGGCGACGAGGACGCAGCGCGCGCCCGCGGCGTGCTGCGCCTCGGCCCAGCGCAGCGCCTCAAAGACGCCGCTCGCCGCCGCCGCCGCGTCCGCCCGCTCCGAGAGGTCTCTGTACGCGGCCGCGGCGGGGCGGAGGTGCGCGAGCCGCCTGCGGGAGAGTGGCGGCGGAGGAGGTCGGAAATGGCGGCCGCTCGGGCGGGGAGGGGGCGGGGGCCATCTCGGCCAGTCTCACCCCCCAAAGTCGAGCAGCACCGCCTCTATCTCCCTCTATCTCCCTCTATCTCCCCATGTCTCCCCATGTCTCCCCATATCTCACCCCCCAAAGTCGAGCAGCACCGCCTCTATCTCCCTCTATCTCCTTCTATCTCCCCATGTCTCCCCAGGTCTCCCCATATCTCACCCCCCAAAGTCGAGCAGCACCGCCTCGCCCAACGAGAGGGGCGCGCTGCCCGCGCCCGGGGGAGGGGCCGCCAGCAGCTGCGGGCCGCGCAGCAGGTAGGCGGGCAAGTCGGGCGAGTAGTGAGTCAGCAGCATGCCTGGCGAGACCATCCGCTCGACCGCCGCCCCGCCCGCCGCCGCGCCGCCGCCCCCCGCCGCCGCCTCGCTGCCGCTGCCGCTGCTGGCGGTGGCGGCGCCGCTGCCGCCGTCGTGCGGCGTTGGCTGGTGCGCCGGCTTCACCTTGAGGGTGAAGCGCTGCGCGGCGCCGCCCTGCTCCGCCGCGAGCCACCGCTCGAGGGAGGCCTACGAGGCGACGCGCAGAAGACGGCCTTGAGAGGGGAGTGGGGAGGGCCGAGCCGCCGCCGGCAGGAGCCTCGGGCACGCCGCCGCGGCGCAGCAGGACGAGCTCACCCGCCTGCGAGGCGCGAAGGGATCCATCACTCAATTAATCAATCAATTCGCTCACCCGCCTGCGAGGGTCTGGCCGCGAGCGTGAGCATTAATTAGTTAATCAATTAGTTAGGCGAGGGTCTGGCCGCGAGGGTGAGGGGCTGCCTTGCCGGTCGGTCGCGAGAGATGGGGGTTAGAGATGGGAGGGGAGGGAGGGGAGAGGTGAGGTGGTGGGGCCTGCAACGGTCTCAGGCTCAGGGCGAGGGCACGGCTGTGGTAAGACCGAGGTGTGGCATGCGGTGTGGTGGGGCCTGCAACGGTCTCAGGGTCAGGGCGAGGGCACGGCTGTGGTAAGACCGAGGTGTGGCATGCGGTGTGGTGGTGCCTGCTCGTCTCAGGGTCAGGGCGAGGGCACGGCTGTGGTAAGACCGAGGTGTGGCATGCGGTGTGGTGGTGCCTGCTCGTCTCAGGGTCAGGGCGAGGGCACGGCTGTGGTAAGACCGAGGTGTGGCATGCGGTGTGGTGGTGCCTGCTCGTCTATCTTGACGACGGTGCTCTCGATGCCTACGCCGCAGCAATCGGCGGGCGGCGCGTCGAGGACGAGGATGGGGTGGTGGGCGAGGTCGTCCATCACGTGCTGTGCGCGGGTCGGGCTCACGTGCCCGAACCGGTTCGCCGACGGCGCCGCCACCGGCACCGCAGCGCGCTGCAGCAGCTCGCGCGCCAGCGCGTGCTCCGGCACCCGCACGCCGACGTAGCCGCTGCCAGAGGTGACGGCGGAGGGGAGCTCGGGCACCGCGGGCGCGACCAGCGTGAGCGGCCCCGGCCAGAAGCTCGCGGTCAGTCGGCGCATCAGCTCCAGCCCGCCCGGCCCGAGCCGCACCAGAGCCTCGGCCGCGCCGGCGCTCGCCACGTGCACGATGAGGGGGTCGGAGCGAGGCCGCCCCTTGACCGTGAATATGCTCGCGACGGACGCCTCGTTGAAGGCGTCGGCGCCCAGCCCGTACACAGTCTCAGTCGGGAAGGCAACCAGCCGCCCACTGCGGAGAGCGCTCGCCGCCTCGTCGAGCGAGTCGATGAGCCGGCCGGGCCGCGGAGCCGTCGACGAAGCGGCCATCGCGCGAGGCGAGGGCGCGCGCAGGGCGGGCGCGAGTGAGCGGCTGCTCTGAGAGGATACAGCGAGGAGGCAAGTGGCTGAAAACGACGCCGTGCGCATTGGCCTGCGCGCGCACGATTTCTTTTTGTGAAATCTGGTAGTTGAGCACTTGAGCACTGGATAGGGTCGGTTCCGCATGGTACGGGACCCCTCGATCGTCTCGTAGTTTGATCAATAATGGTGAAACCCGCGGCGCCTCTGGGCGCTGCCCGGGGCGAGGGCAGTAGCGCCCCGCCCGGACTCGCTTCGCCGTTTTTGGCGAGCAAAGAACGAACGTCCAATATTTGACCGTCGGCGGTAAAAATTGTCGACCGGCCAATTGCTGAGACGCCCGTGTCACACTAGAAGCCGTCATCGCATTCGCCCTGGGACCCAGCGCTGACTTCTGACTGTCGTTGCGGTCTATCCCTTTCTCGACTGTCTGTCTGAGCTTGTGCGTCTTGGGTCCGTGGTTGTGTTTTTGTGTGAACGTATTTTCTTCTCAGGGCGGCTACGGCGGGGCCGGCGCCTGCAGCGGCGGCAGCCATCGCGCCGCGCGAAGGCGCCGGCCGAGGCAGCCCTTTCGCGGGCGCCGCCGCCGCGAGCTGCGCTCGGAGCTGCCGGATCTCCTCGAGCAGCGCAGCCTCCTTGCCGGCCGAGAGGGGCTCCTCGTGCGCCGCAGCGCCTGCAATGCCACGCTGCTTGTGCTGCTCGACGCCCATCTCGAGCGCTGCGTCCGGGACCCATTGGCCTGTGTTTACGCCAGCGCACCCACGTGAATCCGAGACGGTGATGGGAGGCGTCTCGGCGGTCTCAGACCCAGTGAGGTAGTGCGCCAGACTACCCCGGATCCTGCTGAACAAGCTCCTCTTGTAGCTCGATCGGTCACACCGCCATCGCCGTCGGGGAGAGGGGGGACGACACTGCTTCGGCAGGGTGCACCTCGATCATGTACCGTGTTTGTTATGACCCCCCCCAATGAACACACCAGTGAGGGAGGGCGAGACGATCCCCCACTCTAGGGCAGGGCGCGGAGGGGATCGCCTGGCTGGCGGTCTGCCCGAGGGACGAGCTCGAGCCGGGAGGCTTCTACCTCGACCGGCGGCCGCAGGCGAAGCACATGGCGGGCCCCTTCTTCAGCGAGGGCTCCTTCACCAAGAACTCGGAGGAGGAGGTGGGAGCGATGCTGCGCCTGCTCGACGGCCTCGCCGGCCTCGAGCCGCTCGGCGCGGTCGACGGGCTGTCTAGATGCTGATAGAGAAAAAGAAGGGCTGGACGGTGCGCAGGACATGCACCGGGCCCGGGTTTCTTAGCTCCGGCTGGCACCCAGGTCAGCCGGGCCGTAGAGTCAGTCGTCTTTTGGGTAAAAGGACTAAAATCGCTGGTTCGTTCACGCCCAAGTTGGTGTGTGTGATCATGTGTTTGCGGTCCCTTGTACTGTACTCTCCCTTGTACAGTACTCTCCCTTGTACGACAAGACATTGTTGATGCACAAGAGGGAAGAGCCCTAGGAAGAGCCCGTGGCCGTGCACAGCCGCGTGCTCTCTCTCTCGTCGAGAGGTGCCACTGCCGAGACTGGGCACCGCTGCCGCTGCGCGTGCCCGCGCGCGTGGCTCCGGCCTCCGCGCGTCGCTTCTCTATCTATCATACATCTCGACCTGCGCCCGAGTGGATCAGAGCAGCGCGATGCGGCGCTCCTCGCACACGGCCACCAGCTCAGTTTGCTGCTGCTTGTTAACCCACGACGAGCGACTGCACGCGAGGGGAGGTGCGATGAGCATTGGGCGGGGCAAGGGCGTGCGTGGGCAGGGTGGACGTCTCACCTTCAAGCTCGGGGCAGCCCCCTCCTTGAGGGCGGCGGCCAGCGCCTTGCAGCCCTCGTCCCCAATCCGGTTGCAGTCGCGGAGAACGAGCGTCTCGAGCCGCGGCGCTGCCCCCTCTTTGCCGAGGGCGGCGGCCAGCGCCTTGCGCGTTGTGCTTGTACCCTCTTCGGACCCGATGCTTCACTCATGCTTCGGTGTGAATCACGCCCGCTGTGAACGGAGTTGCTCTTTGAGACCAAGTGCGCTAAATAGAGCATAAAAATACCTTTCAGACGGTACCTTTCTGTCCTCCAGAGTCGAAGAACTCGTCCGGTGGCTGGCCGCCAAAGTGCTGGAGGCGCACACTGGTGAGCGCGGAGCACACTGAGGGAGCTGTCCTCGGCGCAGCCGATCGGCTCCCGCGGCCTGGATGGTGGCAGTGGCACTCTCTGAGGCTCCCTGATTTTTTCTGGTATTTGTTGAGCACTCTCTGGTCACCTTCGCCGGGCGAGCCTGGCTCTCGCTGCACAGCGGCGCGACCCGCGGTGAGGCTGCCGATCGTCGAACTGGGCTTAGCTCTCAGTCAAGATATTGTGCATATGGTCGGTCTCTACAATATCTTGACTGAGCACCACCGATGAATCGGCAGCAGGGAGACAGGAAGGCTCGCTGTGTGAGTCGGCCACGCAGAGGTTCGGAACCTGGGTCTGAAGAGGGTTACTCTCTCTCTCGCCCCTATTTTTAGAAGAGAACGTCTGTGGGTCAGCTCACATGTCTTGTCACAATGAGTGAGTGGGGTGGAGCCGAGGGTGCGCCACGAAAAAATGAAAGCCGTTTGTACCGCGTCCTCGCCGCCACCACACCGCGTCTCTCATAAATAAATAAATACAACGGACATCCCAAGCTAGGGCTGGGTCGAGGACAGACACGTCCCCACCTTTGCAGGATTTTGCAAAAGCGAGGGGGGAGGGCGCATCGCCGCGCGGAGAGGGCTGGGCACAGGGCACAGGGGATCTCTCTCGCATACTTTCTCGCATAGGATACGCACTCGGCGGCACGAGGGCAAGGCTGGGCGTCCTATGTTTGTGCTCCCCCCCGGACCCCTCGCTCTCGGGCACTAACCATCTGACCACTCATCGACGGGGCTTGGCGAGCGGCCGCGCTGCGGGGCAGGGCTGGTGAGAATGGGCTCTGGCCACTCGCCCGTGCGGTTGTAACCCCGCATCTGTCGGACAGAGGCCTCGACCGCCCCTCGCGGCAAGCTCTCGAGCATCTCGAGCAGCTCGCCCGCCGCCATCGCCGCCTCGAACTGCTCCCTCATGCCGAGCGCGCCGCATACCCTGCGGACCGCCTCCTGCTGCACCTCGTCCGGCGTATCGGTTTCATAGCCGGACGAGTCAGCGGAGGCGGCCCGCTTGGCGGGCGGAGAGTCGGGCGACGGCGAGCGCGACTGGCGCGAGGGCCCGCTGCCGCGCGCGGACAGCGCGTTCTTGTCAACGAGACGGGGTCCAGCATCGGCACGGCCCCTGGCACCGCGGCCCTTGCCGCGCTGCTGCTGCCCACGCTTCCTGCCCGGGTTAGGGACAGTGAAGGAGCAGCCG